ACATAATTTCTCTAAATAACATGGCAAGTAAAATTTGAAAATCTATGTTCAAATATTTCTTCAAGCTCTCCTTATATGTATTCTGTCTTATCACCTCATTAGGAGATTGTAAGGGAAAGCAATTCTATAGATACAACACTATTGTTGATAATAAATATTCAATAATGTAGTAAATTTATACAGATACCAAAAAACAAAAATAGAAAAATATTCGTACTATTTAAGTTGCTCTTATGCATAGCATATGCCACAAGGCATAACACTTGCATAATTTCTCTAATTGAATAGATATTACAACAATAGCCTTTTTCTCAATGCGATCTTGTCCAAACGTTACATAAAAACACACTAATGTTGATGGTTTGATCATAACATGCATACAGTACACATCTTATAACATAAGTTTAACAACAACAAAAAAAAGTTACATTTATTATATCATCTCATACAATAGCTTGTTTTCATTATCAAAATTTGTTTAACACATTGTGCGTGCCTATAATTTAGGAATATAATAATATTATTCAGTAGTGTCGGGCCACTATTTGACAATGCTTACTTGTTATGTGTTTGGTAACGTTTACGTTTTCAGTTTATATTTACAAAAATTTTATAAACTGGTTTTTGTTTATTTTTTGTTTATTTTTAGAAAAACATAAACTGCAAACGCGTTTGGTAATTAACAAAATGTTTAAAAAAATTAAAAAATATAAAAAAAAGTGAGAAATGACAAGTAGTGGCAAGTGGCGGCGAAAGATGGCGGTGGAAAGTGGTGACGATGGGTGGTGGTGGTGGGTGGGTAGGTGGATGGGTGACGGTGGTGGGTGGTAGCGAGTGGGTGGTGGTGGCAGGTGGGTGGCGAATGGCAGGTGGTGGTGGGTGATGGCGAGTAGGTGACGGGTGGTGGTGGTGAGTGGGTGGGTGACGGTGGCAGGTGGTGGGTGGTAGCGAGTGGGTGGTGGCGGTGGTGGTGGTAGTGGAGGGTGGTGGGCGGCGGTGGTGGTGGTAGTGGAGGGTGGTGGGTGGTGGTGGTGGTGGTAGTGGCGAGTGGTAGGTGGTGGTGGCAGGTGGGTGGCGGATGGCGAGTGGTGGTGGCGGGTAAGTGGTGGTAAAAAAAAAACTATATTTTTGCTTCTTTTTTTTTGTCCCATTGTACTGTGATTTTTCCTTTTTATTATTTTTATGTTGTAGCAATGATAATATTAAGTGACTCACTTGAAATCACATGTTTAAAACATAACTTCATTTGAAATTGCATTTTCAACATATGATTTCAAGTGAAATTACATTTTCAACATGCAATTCACGACATCCCTTGACTTACTCCAGCGACTTTAAAGTACACTATTTGCAAAGCTAACTTGTTGCTTTTCAATTGTTACTTGTGACTTGCTTTAGTGATTTTAAAGTATGTTGTTTGCAATAGCTTTGTGTGAAATTGAATCTTCATGATAGTGATTTTGAACTAGTTCTACCTCAAACTCTGAAATCATATTCTCAACAAGTGATTTCATTGGTCAGATTGAATTCTTATCAATGTCAAATCATGAGGGTTTTTATTTTATTAGTTAATTTCTCTATAAAATAACTACAAAAATGTAAATACATGTGTGTGTGTAATTTTTATTTATATGAAATTTTTTATGTTAATTTAAATCTCATTTTGAACATGCAAGATCATTGTGAAATTGGATTTTGAACATACAATTTTAATTCTCACGTGTGACTTACCACAACAATTTCAAATTACACTATTTATCAATAGTTTTGCGTGAAATTGAATCTTTATGGTAGTCACTTTGACTTAATTTTGACTCAAACCTTCAAATTAAATTCTCAACATGTGAACAAATAGTACACACTATTTGTATTACGTAAAATGAAATTTTTGTGATAGCCATTCTACCATAATTCTAACTTAAACACTGAAATCAGATTCTCAACATGTAATTTCATTGGTAACATGCAATATTCTTATCAACGTCGAATCAGGAGTAGTTTTTTTTTATTATTTAATTTCTTTGTAAAACAATATAAAACTATTAAAAAAATTATGTATGTGTAATTTTAATTTATAGGGAATTTTTTATGTTAGTTTAAATCTCATTTTGAACATGCAAAATCATTGTGAAATTAGATTTTGAACATGCGAAATTCTCACCCATGACTTACTATGACAATTTCAAATTACACTATTTATCAATAGCTTTGCGTGAAACTGAATCTTTATGGTAGTTATTCTGACCTAGTTCTGACTCAAACCTTGAAATTAGATTTTCAACATGTGAACAAATAGTACATACTTTTATATTACATGAAATTAGGTTCTAAACATGTGACTTCATTGATAACATGCAAGATTCTTATCAATGTCAAAATGGGTATGAGTTAATCAAAATATTTCGTTTATTGATCTCCACAATTGATTAGTCAATGCTACAGAAATAGACCACAATGGTGGGAATGTCCTGATTACATGCAAATTTCCATCTAGAAGTTACCCTCATGTTGTCTACTATACAACACTTGAGATCAAAGATGACGATGGTGTCAAGGGTATATTTGATATAATTGACTCAACTCCTGGTTATAACATTGCTAAGTTATATATCACTATGGAGCCTATCTATCATGACCCAAACCCAGTGCCCAAAGGTTCAGCGTTGTAACAATTTATTTTTTATTCGTGGTGCTAAAATTAATTAAATATTTTGGGTGTTATACCATTAATGTTTTTCCTTATACTAATGTTAATGTTGATGTGCTAGGTACAAG